AATGGGCACTCATTTGCAATTGTTGATTTCTTGAGGAAATAGGCTGATATAAACCCACTTTTTGTCAACGCTTGTGCAACCGACTCAGGCCGTCCCTTACCTAATCACGCTATAGGACACATGATCGCTAGATACCGTGCTTCCAGCTCATACATGATGAGTGAAGTTTTGCTAACCCAATTGATACCCCTTTTTTTTTGTGAAAGCCCATCAAAATGGCTCTTGGTGTGAATCCACATGAAGTGACATGTGCTCTTGAACAGGCACCGTAGTTATTCTTTGCCGTAATGGCGTGCTCCCTCGCTAGATCATTGACGCAGCGCCTCGTCGTCTGGCTAACATGTCTCTTTCTGCACGATAAGGGTATTTTGTAAACCACTTCAGTAGCAGACTTCCTGAATGGCCACGCATGCTTCTTTTTACAGCCTTTCAGCTGCTCAGCATGATTTTCAACGATGCACCGGCGCAATTTTGCTAGTTTGTTAGGAGCACGAACACGATCAGTACTTCATGCCGGCTCGCCACCTTTTTAAGGTTGTACGTATGAATATATAGTATATTATGAATATAAGGTACAAACAGCTGCTAGTGAGCACCCGTCCTGTTCATGTGTTTTCTTTGTGTGGTCGTGGTTTTGACGTGAAATTGACTATTCAATTCAGGCATTCATGTCTATTCACAGCACATGTTTAATGTCTGTAGCAAAATATTACATGATATTTTCGTATTCATATTTGCATGTTCAAGAGAACAGCAGCCGTGCCAATTGTGTCAATTGGATACAATTTCCTAATTTTGCACAAAACCATTATGAAATGCCCAACCAGCCTCAATTATTTCTCAGTATTGTTAATTTTATCAAGAAACATAAAATCCATTATTCAACTTAAGTTTGCGCATCATCATCCAATTGATTGATGTATGCAGTTTAATGTCCTAAAGCCACCATTTGATTATGAGACGCTTTAGAGGAGGGCTCCAGATATTTCGGCCGCGTGGGGTTCTTGTGAACCCAAATCTAAGGAAATGGGCCTACAGCATTTTCGCCTGCATGAAAAAGTGCAGCTGAGTACTTTGGCGACTAAACCATCGAGGCGGGGTCATCATCATCCAATCTAATACAGATGTGTTAACCGTAATTATAACTTTTAATTGACTATATTCTAACCTCACAGCAAAAGAAAAGAGTAGAACGGTTTAGAAGAAAGTTCTACCCCCCCCCCCCTTTCTATGACGTCCATAACGCTTTTTATGTCGCTTTCGCCAGAATACGCTTTCGCTCTGCGGAAAAGTGCTTTTTGATTTACAGGACACAAAATATCTTTGTCCCTATATTACTCTGCCATGCAGATGCCATTCAATAACGACTACTAGTATAAGTGCTGGCCGTCTTTCAGAGTGATTTATGAGGTTTTCGCAGGCTTAAGCGACGATAAAGAAAATCGTATGCCACTTTTTTTCTTTTCGCCACCCCCTTGAGCTCCTCCTTTACGAATATCTGGAATTTCTGGGTCGCCTGTCAAACAGTTAGACAAGCTCACCAAGTGCTACTGCGAGTTTTACACCCGTATTTTAGAACGTCCCTTCACTAAATGCTTCACCTTGACTTGAGAAAATTGATTCCAGCACAGTCTCTAGGCAGAGCAAGTCACTCAATATCAGGGATAATCTGCTGCGATTCTCAAGAAACGCAGCCTCATTTTTAGACAAGCGGTGGCGCTGTGCTCAGCTAGTACAAGTGAAGGATGAGATTTGAGTCGAGGAGCATTCGTATATAGGGAGGATAGCATTGTTTGCACTGTGGGACAGTTCAAGAGTGCTTTTGTTGAAATAGCTGCACTTTTGTGTATTTTGAATGAATTAGCGTATGTCAAATAATTTCTACATATACTTTTTTGTGTGTGTGATTCAGTATAATTTGTTGCACTACTGTAAATTTGGAGCCCCGCCGCGGTGGTCTAGGGGCTATGGTACTTGGCTGCTGACCCCCAGGTCGTGGGATCGAATCATGGCTGTGGTGTCTGCACTTCCGATGGAGGCAGAAACGCTGTAGGCCCGTGTGCTCAGATTTGGGTGCACGTTAAAGAACCCCAGGTGTTTAAAATTTCCGGAGCCCTCCACTACGACGTTTCTGATAACCATATGGTGGTTTGGGGACGTTAAACTGCACATATCAATCAATGCTGTAAATTTGAAATTTCAAGCTCAAAAATGCTGTGTTTGTTTTTCCTGAAACCTGCTCCAAATTTAGATTTTCTCCCTAGAAAAGCAAGATATGATGCTCCAAAATATTGCTCCAGATGATAGCTTGGCTGCTCCACCTCTACTAGCTGTAAGTGGTTACTCTTTCACCCTGCTTTTGTGTGCCCATTTTATGTTCTTTGATGTTGCATTGTTTCAGGGGGACATATTATGTGATGCGCTTGATATTTTACATCTTTAAATCAATTATTCTGTGTGGTTAGTATCTAGTGGCACTGTTAAGCTATTCTAATTTTGCCTATTGTTTTCACTCCTGTATTATTATTTCCCCAGTATTCTGAATGTCTGAACACACAAGGGTTATTGTGAAATGAAAATGCCATTTTAAGACTGTTTTGTCATTATATTCATTAGAATACCACTAGCTTTGCATAATATGCATAAGGCATGCCACAACACATGCAAACTGTGGCGTACCAATGTGGCAATTGTAGTGTGCATTGATATATTATTTCAGTATATTAGAGAAATAAGGCATTCTGCATTTCACTACTCTTCCTGCTGTTTGTATGCTTCACTGCACTGTGCTTTTGTGCTGCATTGAAGCGTGTTAAAATTAGTTCTTCATTTTTAAGTGCAAATAAAGGCTCTTTTGTTGTACTTTGATATGCATGCATTGGTCGTTAGAGCTCCATGCCGTACCATTGACGTCTGATTTCCGGTCTTCTTTTGTAGCAAATGGCATTCTGCTTTGCACAATTGAAAAAGGCTTTTGATTAAGGTACAATTTGTCTCTGAATCCTGTATGTTCTCTGTGCCTAATAAAATAAAGCTTGATTTCGTTTTGCACAATGGCATGACTTTGTGAACGTTGTGTTATGTGTGGCAGCTCATTTTGAGTGATGCCTTTGCATTAAGCTAGGATTACGTGTTATATGCCGTGCTTCATATATGCACCATAAAAGCTGTGCTAAGGCCAGGATTACCACACTGTGGCAGGAGCCACTACAATCGGACATCTGCACATGAAAGGTCTAGCTAAAGGGTAAGCTTTCACGTGCTTCCACAGGGGCTTACAGGAAAGGGGTAACTTTCGAATTATGGTATTTTTTGCATGGGTGTTGGGGCATTATTCAGCATGAACACCCCCACACCCTTTTTGCTGTTTGAGCAATTACACCCCTACACTACTTTTGTTTTTTAAGGGTGTTAGGGTGTCATAGCGATATTACACCCTTACGCCCTTAAGATTACTTGGGTACATTCGCTTTTACACCCTCACTCCCTAAAGGCCACTTGGGTGTACATTTGTCTTTACACCTGAAGAAATGTTTGTGCCATAGGGTGTAAATTCGGAAATCCGCCCCACGATATAGGTGTAGCCCTGCTTGATACACCCATTTCGTGGGGTGTTGGGGTGTGAGTTATAGACACTATAAAACACCTATATGGGTGTAATTTGGTTTACAGTGTAGTATGTTCCAAATAAGTACGTGTGATAACCGTATAGTCCTGGGCCATGCCGGTGGCTGGACCGAATCACACACACGTACGTTGGCGGGTTCCACACTGACTGGCTGGTCATGTGCGCCGTATTTATTTCCTTGCAACATCGACGCCCCCGGGCGCCGGAACGGCAACTAATCTTATCACAGTATACAGTAGAATTCCCGCTACAGTGATAACTTTGTCGAACTCTTAATGGCTATCAGAGCCTTCGTTTTATGGAAGCGGAGGGGACTGGCCCACATGAGGGGACGCCCTCAGAGAGCCATGTGTTTCCTCTGCTACATCGGTTAAGAAACGTATTGCTTATGCATCTCAATGAAGAACTAGTTATGCTGGGAGAGGAGGCCTTCCTCCGACGCTGGTCTACGCGATTCATTATTGTAAAAAATAACAAAGTGTCCATGCCTTTCCTCCCCTACTGAGGAGGTGGGCTAGAACTTTTCACCACTGTGAAATTGCAGTGCGTATGTTCCTTTTCTTCTTTAGAAACATGTCTTTTTTGTACAATATTGTTCTTTAGCGCGAGAGCAAATTGTCTTCACATGTGAATGCAAAAACGTCACCTTGCGCTGTGAATGACCCCCCCCCCCCCCCCCTGTTTGTGCATATAGCCATACTGGTTATATAAGTTTACTCATCTTGATGTGCATGAATGTTCTGTCCTTGTACAATTTTTGCATTGTACACCTCTGCATACACAAATAAGTTATTTTCGCTGTATATAACAGCTTGCACTGTACATACACATGGTCGTCATTGTCCATCTTTCTGTGTGCACATAAGCTGTGTTAGATATGTCTGGAAATAAAATTCTTTTAGACCAGCCATCACGCACTCACAGTACTCAGCTAAGCAAAGCACGTAATATACCCCTGTATGGCAACGGTCACATATTCTGAGTCGAAATCCAATGTTGAATTTAATTTTTAAATTTTTTTTCAATGTCCATTTAGGCTAGCCTCTAAATTTAGTGAAGCAAGCGATTCTGAAACGTTGACATGATTCTCCGGCGATGTTCAATGAGTTCCATGGACGAAACGTTTTATTAGGCAAAGCGAATAATGGTGGTGTCTTTTTTGCATATAAGCACAATACCATACGGAGGGTGAATGCCGTAATTATTCTAAAGTGCCTAATTATCCTAATTACCCGGCAATACGCTTCCCCCCCCCCCCAAGCCTTTGGTTAGAATTTTTTCCCGCGGTAGAAGTGTGGCTGAATCGTATCCCTATTCGCTACTTCACTAAAGCTCTACCCGAATTCAAGCCGATTCTATATTTACTCTGCAGCTCTCTAAACTTTGGAGCCATTGGCGTGGTGGTCGGACACGAAATGACTCACGGCTTTGACGACACGGGTAAGTGTCGATAAATACGTCCCCATTCTTAAAAAACAGACGCGAATGTAACAGTTTGGAAGAACAATATTTTTGGTATAACAGTCAGTTCAAGCGCACGAATAAAGAGAAAGGAATAGAGGTCAACTGCTTTATCGCAACTAAACGATTCATTAGAAAGGGAAGAATATGTAAACAGGCAATCAAAAAACAATGCATGCGTGTGCAGGCAAAAAGTACACCCGTGGCAAGCAAACTGCCGTCTATTTGTTCGCCCATGCGCAGAGAGTTTCCGCAATGTCGCATGAAACACAGCAAAAAGTTCGTGGACTGCGCAATGGGCGTTGTTTACGTGACTCCTTTTAGCTGTGGCGAAGTGTGCATAGGTCAGTCGGGAAGGTGCGTCAATGTTCGTCGTAGAGAGCACGATTCTTCAATGAAATCCTCAGGTGCATCGCATCTCACGGCTCATTGCAGAGAGTGCGGTTGTTATCCTCTTTTTCAGGATACTGAAGTGGTTTTTCGATCTAACAATCAATTAACTTGTGTGTTGACGGAAGCTTTTCACATAATAAAAAGAGGAGGACAATGCGTCAGCCAGTCTTCGGTTTTGCTGCATGATAAAGAGTTAGATAAAGAGTTTGCTTGTCTAGATTATGTTCCGAGATAATCTTTCTTCTTTTACCCTGTGTTCTCGAGGTGCCACGGGTATACTTTTTGCCTGCAAACGCATGCGTTGTTTTTTGATTGCCTGTTTATATTGTAACGATGTTGAAGGACTCGGGATGTAATAAAACGTATTAATTAAAGGGCGAACCTGTTCCCACAACTCAAAGGGACTATGGTCGTAGCATGTTACAGCAGAACACCAAAGATGTCTCCTTCTACTTCTTCAAGAAGAGTCCCAGGCGCGTGGCGCACATCAGCAGGGGCCAGCTGGGTTCTCGTGCTATCATCATCGTCTCTGCGCAACACTAGACGGCGCGCATGTATGTCCCTGTGCGCGTGGTAATGGGCGCGTTGTTTGAATGCAGGCACTATGTCGCGGCAATATATTCTTCCCTTTTTAATAAATCGTTTAGTTGCGAGAAAGCGATTGTCCTATCTCCCTTTCTGCTTATTCGTGCGCTTGAACTGACAGTTATACCATGCATATCCAACTAGGCCAACTTTCGATTCTGTTGAACGATATTGTTCATCCGTGTTTCCAAAGCGGGATTTCACAGAAACTGTTATAAACTGACAGTGGTCTAGTATAATTCACAGGATTAGCGTACGACGTTGTTGTTGTTGTTGTTGTTGTTGTTGTTGTTGTTGTTTGTGTGTGTGTGTGTGTGCGCGTGTGTGTGTGTGTGCGCGTGCGTGCGTGCGTGTGTGTGTGTGTGCGTGCGCGTGAGTGCGTGCGTGCGTGTGTGTGTGCGTGCGTGCGCGTGTGCGTGTGTGTGTGTGTGCGTGCTGCGTAACTGTCTCTTATTCTGTTCTATTAACCTACAGGTAACTTTTAAACTCTCCCAACTTTTTACTCTGTGCACGTATAGCCTACCGGCTTTTTAGACCGGTTGACACCCTTAAGAGGGCGCCCAAACGACACCGAGTTCAATGGTGAAAAGTCGCTTTCTCGCCTTTACCATACTCTTCTACAAGGACTTTCTCCTCGCCGCCCCTTTCAGGAGCGGTGCACCTTAAAACCCCACAATGTCCCTCCTTCTATAAACAAACCGTCAGGCGTCTACAGCAAATACATGTATACGGCAGAACAACCGCATCGACCAACTCCATTACAGCACAATGTGCACCAGGGGTGGCTAATTTTCCACGGGCTTTCCGCAGTCGTGCCACTCATTCGTCCATCCATACTTTATCCCGTAGTCAATTACAACCTACGAATAAATACGCACTCCGGCCCAAATACTGCCGCACGCCTGTCATTCATCTGTGTAACGGAGCAATGATTGGCGATTTCCATCCTAACCATCAGCACATTTTTTTTAGTAACGCACATACAAAGCATAATATAAATAAAAAGTTCATCGTTACTTGTTAGAATGTTATGTTCCGCAAAACAGTGAAGTCAGAAGATCTGATGAAATTCGACAAGTGAAATTTTTTGACCAAAGACTTGCGAAATAAACGCGTGCATGTGCAGCCAAGTGGTATACCTGAAATCCATGGCGTCTTCCCGACGTGACGTGAATAACCGACATCGATTCGGTAAGACATTTATGCAAATTCTTGATTGATTGATATGTGCTGTCTAACGTCCCAAAACCACCATTTGATTATGAGAGACGCCATAGTGTAGGGCTCCGGAAATTTCGGCCACCTGGGGTTCTTTAACGTGCACCCAAATCTGAGCACACGGGCCTACAACATTGCCGCCTCCATCGGAAATGCAGCCGCCACAGCAGGGATTTGATCCCGCGACCTACGGGTCAGCAGCCGAGTACCTAAGCCACTAGACCACAGCGGCGGGGCATTTATGCAAATTCAGCCTGGGTGGGACGGTGACCTCTGTGGAAGGAGCTTGCATTAATTCTTAGGCTGTAAGCGACTTATAGTCGTCCTTAACTAGTCGTCCATCTGCCTGTCTTTTATACCTAAACGTAGAGATTATAGACCTTAGAATAGCTTAGCCAACACGTCATCATTTACTTCGTGGATATGCCGTAAATGCTGTAGGCCCGTGTGCTCAGATTTAGGTTCACGTTAAAGAACCCCAAATGGTAGAAACTTCCCGAGCCCTCCACTATATACCGTGTCTCTCTCAATCACATCGCGATTTTGGGGACATTAAACCACACATACCAATCAACTCGTGGATACGCGTGGATTTTTTTTCTTCGTGAAACTGGTGGTATGTCGGCGCTAAATGAAATCGAGTCGGTCAAAATTTCGCGTTTTTAAACTACGCGTATGTGCGCTTCCGCAGTCGCAGATGGAGAAAAAGAAGTGAAATGAGCTTCATCGCATTAAGTAATTTTCAATTCTGGATAAATCCGTGACATACCAAATTAATCGGGTTTGGCAAAACCAGCTGCCTGGTCGGCTCCCAAAATCAAGTTATAGCTATTAGAGTCTACTTTGTTGTTGATTCTTTTTTCTCACTATCTAAATCTTTGGTTTCTTTCTTCTTTTTTTAACATACTGTCCTCACTCTACAACTCGCCCCCCCCCCCTTTTTTTTTCTTTCGTTGTAAGCAATAATGCAGTTATCGTTTATATGAGACTATATGTTCTCTTGGCCAATCCCCCAGAGTGGGTACGAGGCATGGATTAGAGGATACATACAAACAAACAAACAATTCATCGCACACGATGCGCATGCGAAGTCAGAGAAAAGGATTTTTAGTAGCCCCATTACAAAAGCTAGGAATACAAGTAAATGTACCAGTACTTTTATAACTTGGCGGCACTTCATTTTGGTTTCTGCCACAGGGATATATGCTCCACTGTGTTCGACTGTTCTGTGTTTAATTTGATTTTGCCGCTTTTGTTGCCACAGTTGCCATGGGGATATGGGGCTTTGTCAAACTGTCTTATACAGCTTTTTTCCTCTGTCCCAGCCACTTACTGTACAACTGTACGTAGTATAAATAAACTAAACTCAACTCGACTCAACTACATCAATGCAACTGAAAAGATTACCGTGCTAGTGAGCCCTAACCTTTCACATCTTTTGTTTACCATGCGCCGATTGCGAATCGGTGTACATTGGCACGAGTGGAAATTACTGCAAACGTCTTATGCAACACAAGAATGACGTCGCCAAGGGCCACACAGTGACAAATGCACTCGCAGAGCATGCCGAGAAGACGGGCCACGAGATAAGCTGGGACAACGCACGCATCGTAGCCACGGAGAAGAATTTTACAACCAGACTGAACCTCGAATCACTAATCATTCAGACGACAAGTAACACAATCAATAGATCATCTGGCACACTAAACCACGTGTACTCCCGGACTTTGCGTCATGCGCTCAACGTTACATAAGAACCTGTTGCTCAGCCGTCATTCCATTGTGAACAAGGGACCCGTACGGGTCCCGAAACGTCATTGTTTTGTTTGACATTGGTCAGTGACCTGTTTTTTCAACAATGCCTTTACCTGACCAGACGGCATTCCGTCGAACTCTCGACTATCTTTAGTTTATAATTCGTAGCGATGTCTGTCAGGAACAAGAGATGGTTTGACCGCTTGCTCAGCAAACAGTTTTGTTTATTGGCAGTATTATCTCTAAAATATTTTTTTCAGATTGGCTTTAATTTCATTTCAGTTTCATTTAAGTATCCCGCCGCCCGGTTCTTGACATATATCCCCCTCTGTGAGTGAGCGCCATCCATCTGAGGTCGTCAGCATCAGCAACAAGGCAGTACGTGCATGAGGCTAGGAGACAATTTTGCAACAGATATATCTCGTGTATCGATCAATCGAACGCTCATTTCATCCTGACGTCACGTGAACATACAGCTGGCGTCAAGGATTGCACGCGAAGAGGAGAAACGGCGGAAGAGAATAACTCACTCGTTCTTTGTATCTTCCACGGTTGTTTAGGGCCCCTTTTAATTAATTTGCAGTATTTATTTAAAAATACCTTACAGGCTCTATTACAGAGCATAGAGTAAGGGGGGTACATAGGAAAGAATGCTAGTGGGTGATACTTCTGCCACAATACAAAGCAACTACAAAGCAAAGCAACTGCAGAGCAACTATAATAACTAATAAAAATACAAAGCAAGAAATAACATTGGAACCAATAACAGTGGTTGCACAAATGACAAAGAGGGGCTTCAAGCTACAACAAGAATTTCCCACCCGCAAAAAAGCACAAAGAACAAAAACAGAATTCAAGGAGGTTATACAATGCTATTGAGATAGATGTATCATTAATTGCTCGCGAAAATTTTCATGATTAGTTAAATCCCCTGTTCCTTCCTGCCTTCTTGTCTATTATCGTAATAATTTAGAACACCCGTACTTTTTTTTTACCAAAGCGATGCGAAGTGTTCAGTCCGCGTCTTG